TTGTTTTAAGGTTAATTTATTCAAATGAGATTTGCTGAAAGCAGCATTTGTTAGGAAATTTATTTAATATGACTGAAATTTCAAACAGTTAATTTTCATCCCAGTCTTGTGCTGTAAGAACACTGTAGATTTCTTTCATGCCATAAAGAAGCATCTTTATGTTATAAAAGATAAAATGTTTTTCATGCAATGTATAGACTTTATTTTGCTTCTTCTTCTTTTTTTTAATCCCTTTGGGCCAGATTCTAATATAATTTCACAGGAAAATTCCTATTGAGGTTGACTAAATTCCAATGTAATTTGAAAGCAATTAAAGTTTATCAAAGGAAGTGTGCAGTAGAGTTATTCTGGAAATGAATCAGGCCCAAAAGGGAGTAAAACAAGCATATCTAGGTCTCTGGAGCAGCTCTAAGAAATTTCTTAAATTTTATTGACTCACTAAACTACAGTGTCCCACTGGGTGGTGGAGGTGTAGAAGCCTTACAAGTCAGTCATTTATGCAGATTCACTGAAGTTTCAGAAATTGAAAAGTTTCTCAAAACTCAATAGTGTCATTTCCAAGCGGGGATTCCTGTACAACTTGAAGTGTAAAATTTCTAGTATACTTTATTAAAATGTAATCTAAGTCTGACACAACACAAAGTTTCCAATAAAAGCCTTTCTTCTATGTTGTTTTTATCTTTCTTAAACAAAAAAAAACACTTGTCTGAAGGATCACATGTCACCACCTCATTACCTGACTGAGTGTCAGTTAAGAGCTTCACACAGAAGCAGCGTAGGAAATACCTCTAAACCAAGGAAGGGAACACAGAAAAAAAGGAACAAAGGTTTCTGTGAGCTTATCTTTAGGAACTGCATTACATCATTGGTGTATAAAGCCTCATCTTTTACATAATACTCTATACTATGACCCAAATAATATTCTGTATTAAATAAAATATAGGTTGCTTTTTATCATATCAATATTTGCTATATTAATATATTCTAATAGAAGTGAACAGATTCTAAGGAAAATGAGGTTCATTGGGTGTCTATTCATGCACATGCCATCTTGAGTCTCAGCATATACTTGAAAATCAGCATATACTAATTGTTTTTAATTAATTAAATAGAAAAATAAAATGGAGAAGTTTCAGAGTAATTAACTCAATAAGTTAACTACTATCATTGTTATGTCAACTGCATTTTCATTTTAAGAAACTTTAATTTATCCAAAAGCATGAGTCTACCCTTAATCACAATAATGATATCTGACACACAACTTTGAAAAATATGCTTACTCAAGTGAAAATTCCAAAAGGAATCTGATAGCCTGACATTTTAAGTAATGTGCCATCTTAGATGACAGAGCATTACACCCAGCATGGACATGTGAGAAGCTCCACAGACCTGCTTCCCAGTGCAACTCCCATACCTGATAGAATAAAAAGAAGAAATTTAAAGTGTCTGGAAATTTTCCCACGAACATACAGCAAATGGAGAAAAAAATGTATTCAAGAAAAATCTCCTAAATCTCAATAAGATTATTTAGAATTTGAGCCATAAACACACTCACTCCAGTTTAGCATGATGAACTACCCATTCTGAGTGGGCAAGGCCAGGAAGATGGGGCTCCCTCTTCCCTCAAATCCCAACCAAGGGATACATAAAAGGTTTACAGAGGCTAAATTCTAAGAGCTCATAAGCCCCCTTCTTCCACCCAGCCCCCACTCACAGAGCAGAGGTTCTACACCAGGTGCAGCAGGCTGAGAATATTGGGACCTTGATCACATTCACCCTGGCTTATTCATAGGGTGGAACTTTCAGTCTGGGAGAGGCAAGCCACAAAAACCAGAGGCTTCTGCCCCTACCCAGAACCCTGTTTGCAAAGCAGGAGGGTCACTCCACAAAGAGCAAACCACTGTCCCTACCCATAGCTCCTGAGCTGTGACTCAAAGATTTTGCCTAGGGCAAGAGGCAGTTGACAAGAACAAAGATCACCAACTGTAATCACGTTAACATAAATCTGCAGTAGATTCTAATAAATTAACATGTATCAATATATGGTAAGCCCTAGAGCAACCACTAAGAAAATAAACTCCAAAGCAAGTATTTAAAAAATCATTAAAGCAATTGAAATAGTACACTGGAGAATAACAAAAGAAAAAAAAAGAAATAGTACACTGGAAAACACTTAATGAAAAAGAGAGCAATGAAGGAGGAACAGAGAAACAAACAAAAAAAGACACGAGACAGGTAGAAAACAAAAAGTAGAATGGCAGACATAAACCTAAATATATCGACAATAATATTAAATATAAATGGGTTAAACAATCCAATCAAAAGGCAGAGACTGTCTGGCTAGACGGAAAAGCAAGATCCAACTTTAAGCTGTCTACAGGAGACACATTTTAGATTTAAAGATCAAATAGGTTGAAAGTAAAATGATGGAAAAACACATATCATGCAAACAGCAGCCATAAGAAAGCTGGAGTGCTATACTAATGTCTTAGACAGTCTATTATAAAACAAAAATGTTGCTGGAGATAAAGAGAGACATTTTATAATGATAAAAGGATAACTCCATCAGAAAGATATAAAAACGATAAATGTATATATACCTAACAACAGAGTCCCAAGGTACACGAAAAAAAAAAACTGACAGAACTGAAGCAAGAAATAGGTAATTCAACAATAATCGCTGGAGACTTCAATATCCTGTTTTCAATGATAGATAGAAATATGCAGAAGATCAACTAGACCTAATAGACATAGAACATAATACCAACAACAGCAGAATACACATTCTTCTTAAATACACATGGAACATTCTCCAGAATAAACCATATCTAGGCCATAAAACATGCCTCAATAAGTTTAAAGGAATTCAAATCAGACAAAGTGTGTTACAATGAAAATTATAACTCAATAACAGAAATTCGGGAATTCATAAATATGTAGAAATTAAGCAACACACTCCTAAAAAGCCTTTGGGTCAAAGAAGAAATCACAAGACAAATTAGAAAATACTTTGAGATGAAAGAAAACAAAAACATAACAAACAAAACTTACAGGATGCAGCTAAAGCAATGCTTAGAGGAAATTTTATAACTATAAATACCTTTATTAAAAAGATCTCAAACCAATACCCTAATGGAAAAAGCACAAAATAAACCCAAAGCAAGTAGAAGGAAGGAAATAATAAAGATTATATAAAAACACAGTAGAGAAAACCAACAGAATCAAATGCTGGTTCTTTGAAAGGATCAAGAATCGACAAAATCAGCAAGTCTTTCAGCCAAACTGACCAACAAAATGACTCAAATTACCTTAACTGACAAACTTTCTGAGATCAATATTACATTACATACCATCAGCTACGTTAATTACCCTGAATAAGAGGTGCTTATATATGTGTAAACCATATGAGAAGAAAACCCTCAGTTTGCCATTTTTTCAGGTAAACAAAATCCACCCTAAATTAAATTTCAAGATCTGTGAAATCTGTCCCTTATCCCTAGTTAACTACCCCATACACACGCTTCTGCTTTGGGAGGCTTCTTCCCCAATTTCCAGGTCCATCCCATACTTTTCTTTCCCATGTCACCATCAAAACTAGATAGATTTCTGACCAGTCATTTACACTTTTGTTATTGACAAATTACTCTTTCAACTTCATTCCCACAAAAGCATCACTATAACCAGCATTCCTAATCTGAGTCTGAGGTACCTAATGGTGGAATGAAGGGGTTTCCCACATTAAAGAATATAAGCTTCCACACAATCTCACCAATGAATACCACAAGCTGAACCAAGTAGTTCATTTCAGTCTTTAGAATCAGAAAATATCCAGTAAATAAATCTGATTCCTTCAATTAAAATGATATTTTGGAGGGGAAGCATGGGCAACAAGATATTACTCTGAAAGTCATTTGAATTAGTTTTTGTTGTTATGCTTATTTTGTATTTTTCAGGGACAAGTGACTGGAGACTGCAGGAAGCATCAGAAGTTAAGTCCAAGAATGGTTCCCAGCTGCTCAGTGCCAACCACATCAGGATCAGTGACACTGGGTGCCCATGTACTGTTTAGCCCCAGGGCCTGAATGCAGGGTCTACCAGAGGAGTGCCAGCAGCCCTGTTGGCCTCTCACTCATGAGAGGGTTTTGATTTTGTCTTTTGATGTTAACTGCAAATGAGGCCACACCTGCAGCCAATGTCTGGCGAGTACGTGGTATCAGTTTTAGTCTATAAGATACGTATTTAAATATGCCAAGTTTTTGTAGCCATGCTTTGCCATTTCTTCATTTTTGTATACAAGAAACTAAAGAAGGGAAAATCCCGGGACTGCCTTTACCTCTCAGAGGCTCTGCCTGATGCCGCCCTCATGTGGTCCAGGGCTTTGTTAGATGCTGACCCTTCATCCGCCTCCACTTCCTCTCTCTGGGGCAGCTCTGGTCCTTTCTCTCCCTGCCCAAGGCTCCACCGTGAACCTTCTTAGCTTCTGTTTTCAGGATTACTTGGTATGGTTTTTTTTATTTGCATTTAATGCTTTTCTTTATTACAACCTTTACCCAACACATTTAAAATCTCTCAACACATAATTATTCCATCTGTATTATTTCCTATTTCTAACTTAGATATTCTGCATCACAAAATCCCTCAAAATTGAGTGTATGTTACTGAAGTCATTAGTTTTACAACAATAATTATAACAACAACTAATAACATTTATTAAGTACTTGCTTTGTGCCAGGCACTCTACTGCTTTACATAAATTATCTCATTCTATCACATCTAACTGTATCTCAGTATATGCTTGAATTTGCCAGTAGCACTTAAAATTAATTAAAATAAGGTTATGATTCATCTTCAAAACAAAGATCTCAATATGCCAAAGTGAAACCTATAAAATAAAATATTTTAAAGTCTTACAAAATGTACAACTCTAAATTATTATAGGATACTATTAAATTTATGTTTCTATCATGGAAAATAAAGCTATAAAATAAAGTATCCACTTTCTCTTTAGCCTATTTATTTCTTATACCTTTCTCAAATTCCTAGAAACCTCAGCTTCTAATATGTCAAATAAGTATGATTAGATTCGTATATTCAATTAAATCCTTTAACTAAGAAAGTAATATATAAAGTGAGTATTATGTTCTTACATTAACTCCCAAATCGTGTTTTATAACAAATTACCCTGACATTAACCGTGGTATGAGGGTTGCAAAGTAACATGAGATGTGTTTTTTACTAATCCTTCACATTCCATTTTGGAGCTGTATATGCTGTTCTTGATCAAAACTCTCACTTTATTATCAAGAATTACATTATTTTCTGAATGAGTGAATTTTCTGTTGGAGACAGGAAATGAAGGACTGCAAATGCTGGAAATGTATTTTTCCTGTCTCAGTATTAATACATGATATATATTCATATTAATAATAACTCTGAAAACTAGTTTCATTTCTTCTACACATAAGCAATAAAGTATGTGCAAAAATATGAATACTAGCAGCAGTGATGCGGATACATAATATGGGGTTTCTTTTGAATTTACAGCCATTTCTAATATTTCATTAGAGCATGTGTACAGGCAACTGTCACAGATGTCCATCAAAGCTCGATTAGATGAAGACGAACAATGCAGGCTTTGAGGATAAACCGAAGCCGCAGCTCAACGTTTCCGCTTCTCACCCACGGGCACTATAGGACCACTGTCTTCCTCCTTTAAGGCAAAAAGAACGAATCGATTATGTTACTGACATTCCTCCAAGGCAGACTGGAAAGTCTTTCTACAGTCCAACGAGACAGCAAAAACGAGAAGTTTCATAAGGAAATGTGGAAATTTCAAAAATATCTTCGTGCTCAAGTTTGTCATCTCTGCAATTTTTCCACAAAGTCTACCATAATTTTATTTCTCTAGCAGAATCTATTAATGCAAAATTTCACAGAGACATGTATTTTCAACCAAAATAAGTAAACAAACCCTTGAACTGTTTTCTAAACAAAAAATTTACACATCATGCATAATAATAAATAAAAATAAAGCTTTTAATTATTGTCATTAATTTCCTGTGTAATAACTGCAGATGGTAACTGTTTGAGCACAAAGACCACTGCTTCCTAGTCCCCAAATAATGTGACATTTCTATTAAATAAATCAGGAAATAATAAATATAGAACAACACACGAAACGTGCATTTTGAGAGAACTAATAGTCTTCCCATTTAGAAAACAACACCAGCTAAGATTTCAGTTCAATACATCTACTCGTGTTGCCAGAGATGGGACTGGGGGAACACACTTTAATACAGTTGCTAAAAATAAACAAGTCCAATCTTTTGGACAACAAATATCTATTAAAATTTAGAGCACATATACTTTTCACCCAGAATTCTACTTCTTGGAACTTATCATAGAGATATAACCACCTAATCATACAAAGATTTTATGTATAAGGATATTCACTGAAGCAAAAAAAAACTAGAAAAAGCTAAATAATTTCCTTCCTTAATAAATTATGATACATAGCACAGGGAGATCAGCTCAGTGCTTTGTGACGACCTAGAGGGATGGCATAGGGAGGGTGGGAGGGAGATGCAAGAGGGAGGGGATGCAGGGATATATGTGTACATACAGCTGATTCTGTTGTACAGTAGAAAACACAACACTGTAAAGCATTTATACTCCAATAAAGATGTGAAAAAAAATAAATTATGATACAATGGAATACTTTAAAATTGTTCATACATGGTATGTGGGTGGATATGCTTGTACATATGTACATATACATGTCCACACATGTATGCATATGTTCACATAAATACATATAATTTCTGGAACAATTTATTAGAAAACATTAATAATGCTGGGATATATATTTCCAAACTAAAATTTCAAATAAGATAGTGAGTCATGACCAAATCTTTAAGATTATGCCTCACAGAAGTGATTTCAAAGGTAAAGTAGGACACTGTACGCATTTGACAACTATAACCCAACACATTTATAAATCAAAGTGACTGACATACAACAGACTGATGATCCAAACTGTAAAGCCTCTGCATTTTAGAGCTTTTTAGAAGGAGCCTAAAGGTCAGCATGGATGAATTTTTTGAAAAAGGAAAATAACTGGAGTCCCCCATTTCCTAAGATGTGTTCCACATAACTCTAGAAGTTGGGTGGAAAAAATGAATCTGTATTCAAAAAATACTGTGGAAACTCTGATTACATAGAGTAAGATATGATTCTTTCAAAGAAAACCATGTCAGTCTCTAATATGCTAATGTGCACTGTAAATCTGCAAAAGAAAATATTATATTCAGGATTCTCCAAATGTATGGGACAGTCACGTCTTGATTTAACAAACATCTTGATGCACCAATGCTCTGCAGAACACATTTGGGAAAGGTTGGTCTAGAGGCAGAGATTCCAAGTTTATGAAAGTGATTCAATTACGTTTTACCCAACTACTCTAAAAATTAAGCTACCATGGTCTAAAACATCAATTAGACAAAAGATAGGTCAGTAAATATTCAGTCACTCTAATGACATGAGGTCAGGTCTCACCCAAAGCATTTTAACATTGAACATACAACCAGAGTGCAATAGGTGCACAAGCTCTCAGGTGTCTTTGTTCATTTTAAAGCTCTAATGGCTTGACTTACAGGATTCTCAATAAATGTAGAATGAATTCTAGTTCACCTGAGTGTGGACTCTGCTGGTGAACTTAGGTTGCTCACTGTTAAAATCTCCCTCACAGGAAAACTAAAGTCAATGCCCTATATGCTTATTGAATTTTTCTCCTTTACATTGTTCAAACAAAGAAAATGTCACCTCCCAAAGCCAAGGCACTCTGAGGATGATCTATTAGCTCCCAGCCCCCCTGCAAGAGAAGGATGCTTGATCTCATTCACTGCATGATACCAGATTAGCTGGAAAAATTACAAAAAAATTTTATGTCCCTGAGTTCAACTGATCACACTCTGGGGTGTGGATGTGGAATCGGAAAGACTCACGTTCAAATCCCAGCTCTGCCACCAACTGGCTGGAAGATTTTAGGCAATCTATTTGCCCCTTCTGAGCCCCAGATAGCAATACCTACTTTGCAGGGTTTGTGTGAGAATGGAATGTGACAACAGTGCCTCCTGGGCACATAACTGAGTGGTGACTATTTCGTTGATTTTACAGACATCTCACTAAATGAAAACTGAACTACGGTATGGCCTATTATTTTCTATAGTGTGTGTTTGACATTTACTTTTCAGCACTTCAGAGAAATTTTTCATGGGATGGAATCATACTTGATCTCATCTGCACTGTGTTCCCAAGGCCCAACACAACATCTGGCTCAAAGCAAACACTCCAAGAAAATGCACATATGTATGTCTGTGTACGTGCGTGTGTGCCCACGCATGTGTGCGTACATACATTAAAAAGTAGAACAAAATGACAGTAGTAATTGCTCCTGTCATTTATTTAACATTTTTATTTAACGTTTTTACTTGTATAAAAAGTTAAATTTGGGGGCTTCCCTGGTGGTTCAGTGGTTGAGAGTCTGCCTGCTAATGCAGGGGACACGGGTTTGAGCCCTGATCTGCGAGGATTCCACATGCCGCGGAACGGCTAGGCCCGTGAGCCACAACTACTGAGGCTGCGCGTCTGGAGCCTGTGCTCTGCAACAAGAGAGGCTGCGATAGTGAGAGGTCCACGCACCATGATGAAGAGTGGCCCCCGCTTGCCACAACTAGAGAAAGTCCTCACACAGAAACAAAGACCCAACATAGCAAAAATAAATATTAGTTAATAAACTCCTACCCACAACATCTAAAAAAAAAAAAAACGCTCTGAGTACAGAAAGAGCTTTAAAAAAGTTAAATTTTTAACATTTTTATTAACGTTTTTATTTGTATCAATATTATACATGCACATAGTTGAAAAAGTTAAGTAGTTCTAAAGGGTGTATTATGAAAACTATCAGTTTCCCGTCCCATATGCCACCACTTTGGTCCTTCTCAACTCTTTGAGCTGATTATTTTATTAATACTGTAGAGTTTATCAGTATGATTGCATTACTCCTTTTTAGTTTTAGCATTGTCTGTCAACTTTCCCTATGGAGAATGTCATTTCACCTTCTTTCCTCCTATCAGCCCCTACCTCTCTAAACACACACACACACACACACACACACACACACCACTCACACACTGTAAACCCTTCCCTTCACTCCACCCTCCCAATACAGTTATATAATAATTTGGGTTGGATCAATATTTGATTTCTATCATTGTGATGATGTAAATATTATTCAGAACTGAACTACATGTATTAATATATCATAATTTTCCTTTCTTGCACAACTTGTTTACTCTGGAGTGAACCATTATCTTGAGTTTTTTCCACCTACATCCTCAATCCAAAACTACCTACAGTTGTCTGACTCTCCTCTCAAGAAGTTAAGACACATCATGCAGTCTATCAACTTCGTCTTCCTGGAGGAAGCTCTTCTAGAACCTTCTCAACTGCTCACATCCGGACTCACACCCTCTATGCTGGCTACCTCACTTCACCATCATTCTGGGAATCTCCTTTGCCTTTCTCCTTTGTCGGCTCTCCTGTTGCCTGGATCCCACATCTGTTTTCTTTGTTTATGCCATTTTGGTGAAGCACATCTTCCAGTAGCTTCCTGGGAAATAAATTTTTAATGACCTTGATATCTGAACATGACTATTGAAAGTTTGGGTGAGGAATTGTAGGTGGGCTGCAACTTTCTCTCGGAATTCTGAAGGTTATTCTTCCCTGGCTTTTAGTATTGCTGTTGAGAAGACTGATATTTAAACTCCAGGTTCTCTGAGTCTGACTTGTTTTTTCCTCCCTGTAACTTCTCCCTCCATGTTCAGAAATTTCACGATGATAGTGCCTTGGTATGGGTGCATTTTGATCTACTGCCCTGGAAATTCAGTGTGTCTTCCCAATTTGTAAATTTATGTCCCTGAGTTCTGAAAAAGTGTTTTGAATGATTTTGTTGCTGGTCCTCTCCTAAAATTTCTCTGCTCTCTCTCCAGATTTCCTATTATTTGGATAAAGAAATGACACTCGGAATACACAAAGGTAATCAGGCTGACTTTCTCCCCTTTGGGACCTCCTCCCAAATACCCATTTATCTGTATATAAATAATAAGAAAGCTTAACTATAAAAGGAAATGTTCTATTATCCAGTGATCATTGTTCATAATGAGACCTTGAAGTAAGGCCATAATCCTAAGAAGTCTTCTAAATCGAAAGCTATTTCAATATAATTATAACAGATGCCATCTTTCATGTGACTATTTCTGAACCTTAAATGATCTTCTGTGAAGAGACCCCTGGGGATGAGCGCAAATCAAATCACCATTGGGGAATTTCCTACAAAGCTATCAAAAATTAAAAAAGCACACGTGCCCACGTGTCCTTCACAAAGGCTGCTGCAGGTCACAGGGCTGACCTCAGTTCCAGTGACTTTGGCTCAGCTAATTGATAACCCGCTGCCACGTCCCTCTTTAAGTAAGATAATTCAGTGTAAAATCTCCAAAAGAAGAGTCGTTTAAGAAATAGCGAGATGCTAGACGTGAGAACTCTTTCCGAATGCTCTCGGGGCAGTTTTTTCTCATGCTGCTTGGATTTGGAGTTAGCTGGGTTACCTGATTCGCTCCCAACACCAGGCTATAAGCTCCTCAGGGGAGTCTA